CCTCAGGCCAAATGAGATCTTGAAGTTTGCACTTGCCACACTTCGCCCCAAGCACCAACCTCTCGTGCAGAGAGTTCACATACACCATGAAGGCTGGCTGAATGGCTGCGTGCAAGCGCCAGGTGGCCTTTCAGAATCCACTAGCAAATATGTCGCCCTCCCGAAAGCCGATCCGATTTTACAACATGGTCTCGTGCCCAAGTACTGAACCTTGCGCACAGGTTCCAGACACGTCATCGTACTCGACACCGGCCGTGCAAGACTTGGCCGACAAAAGCTATTACCAGCCTCCTTTGCTTAGCCGCTTTGTTTGCTAACTGTACCCGGACCGTGCGAAGTGCGCACAGGATTCGCCCAGAAGCTGGCCACCGCTCAAAGAATTCAGTTTCTGTCGGGCACGGGCCGATTGCGGCTGCTTGGACAGCGCCCTTCACAGTTCCACACTTGAGCTCTCGACCTCGCCAAAATGCTGGACGCGCACTTCGGTCCTTTACTTGTTCTTGCTTCTGTGGACTGCAGACAGTGGGGCCATTGTAGTTGAGTTTGCGCCGTTCCGCACGCTGTTGCACAAGCTGGTTCAGAAGCACCAAAAAGCTCCGGTACCAACGAGCAGCTAGTGCGGCTTTCCAGGCACATCCGCAGCCTTCATGGAGCCGAGTCTCTTGCAGCTGTTCAGAACAGATTGTCTTGATCCGCTGCAGCGGTGCTGCCCGTCGAGTTTCCCGATGGCATGGACTCTACCGTGGGCCCAGGAAATATGTGTTTTTTCGGTTGTGGATCGGGTGTCTGTTTGTGTTGGGGCTTGGGCGTTATCTCGAAACTAGACCGCCAACCCCCCTACATCTTCAGGTTTTCGGTTGGCACACTTCGCCGTAAGTGTCGTGCCGGACCTTAGCAAACGTTCAGAATTCGCTGCCGCTGGCGGCTGTTTCGATGCGTACTGCCGCATGGTGACGGTGCGGTAAATTGTCAGTTCCAAACTTAAGACCCCGACCTCTCCACACTAGTGTCTGCGCAATTCAGTCGGTGATTGGGTTGTTGGTGTTGCGTGCAGGGTACAGTGGCGCCACTGTAGTTGAGTTTGCGCCGTTCCGCACGCTGTTGCACAAGCTGGTTCAGAAGCACCAAAAAGCTCCGGTACCAACGAGCAGCTAGTGCGGCTTTCCAGGCACATCCGCAGCCTTCATGGAGCCGAGTCTCTTGCAGCTGTTCAGAACAGATTGTCTTGATCCGCTGCAGCGGTGCTGCCCGTCGAGTTTCCCGATGGCATGGACTCTACCGTGGGCCCAGGAAATATGTGTTTTTTCGGTTGTGGATCGGGTGTCTGTTTGTGTTGGGGCTTGGGCGTTATCTCGAAACTAGACCGCCAACCCCCCTACATCTTCAGGTTTTCGGTTGGCACACTTCGCCGTAAGTGTCGTGCCGGACCTTAGCAAGCGTTCAGAATTCGCTGCCGCTGGCGGCTGTTTCGATGCGTACTGCCGCATGGTGACGGTGCGGTAAATTGTCAGTTCCAAACTTAAGACCCCGACCTCTCCACACTAGTGTCTGCGCAATTCAGTCGGTGATTGGGTTGTTGGTGTTGCGTGCAGGATACAGTGGCGCCACTGTAGTTGAGCTTGTTCCGTCTCTTACACCATTGCCCGAGCTGGTTCAGAAGCACCAAAGCTCTCCTGCGGCAGCCAGCAAGCTGGCGAGGCTTTCGCCATCCGGGACGATGGCCTCAGGCCAAATGAGATTTTGAGGTTTGCACTTGCAACACTTCGCCGCAGACGCCGTGCCTCGGGTTCAACAACCTATCTTGCAGACAGTGCACATCAAGCATGAAGGCTGTCTGGTCGGCTGGGGGTAGCCGCCAAGTAGCCTGTGCTGCACTTCTTGAATAGGAAAATCTCCGCTTCCAGGAGTAGTGACCCCCGCACGTGCGAGCGGTGGTGCCCTGTAGCGAGATGAAGCTGCATTGATGCTCTTGTAGCTTCGCAGGACCGCTCCAGCGTTGCGCGCCGCTTGTTTTGCCTTCGCGACCAGCGCTCTCCAGGTCGTGATACCTTCGAGACTGTCAGGCTGCCGGCAGCACAGTTGTACTAGCGACCTGCAGCTTTCCCAACTTGAAGGGAGAGCCAATGACCATGGCCTTGCTCTGGATCGCCTTGAGCAGAATCTTTGCCAGCTGGTGGCCTACGGGGCATTCCCCCTCCTGTAGTGGCTTGCGGCCAGGGCCGGCAGTTTCCTGCGGCAGCTTCTGCAGATGCTGGACCTTCACCAATCCTACTGCTCCGGGGCATCAGGTAAGCCTCAAGCCGTGACTCAAGCCTGTGAACTCTCAGCTCAAAAATCAAGACCCCAATCTGCCCAAGCTGGTATGGTCACAGTCGCTCAGTTGGTCATGCATGAGGGAGGCTTTGTTTCAAGCCCAAGCAGGGCCTTGGGCCATTTACAGCATCGCCACCAATCCACCTTCTCGCCTTTGTGGGGCGAACAGCGTGCATGTTACCATCGGCCCACGAAAGGGTGGACTTCTTCTGGTTTGCAATGGGCATGGCTCTCCCCAAAGACAAAGAATCGTGCAGTGCAGATGCCAGGAGGTGCTGGCAGCTGCTTACTGGTGACGGCTTTACCAGAAGCAAGCCTCAAGCCTGTAAATTGCTCTCTCCAAACCTAAGCTCCCGACCTTTTGGTGGATGCCCACGGTCGGTCATTGGGTTGTTGCTTTTGTGTGCAAGGTACAGTAGGGCCGCTGTGGTCGAGTTTGTTCCGTCCCGTCTCATGCGCCGTTGCTGAAGCTTGCTAAGAAGCACCAACTTTTCCCAACGACACCGAGCAATCGAGCTAGGCCACAGCTTGTTGGCGCGGGCAGGACGCTTTGTTGCGACTATGTGAGCAGTGGTTCGGCATTGACGGCCTTTATCCAACCTCCGCAGCATTGTCACCGCTCGAGTCTCCAGACGGCATGGACTCTACCATGGGCCGAGCATACGATGACCTTCTACATTTTCAGGTCTGCGGTTGGCACACTTCGCCCCAAGTGTCGTGCCCGACCTTAGCCATTGTGCAAAATCAGGGGGTGCTGGCCGCTGCTTCGGTACGTAGCACCTAATGCTGTCAGGCACCGTAAAGTGTCAGTTCCAAGCCTGTCTCTACACTGGTGGATGTCTAGTTGGTCGCTTGTTGAGTTGTTGCTTTTGTGCGCAGGGGATAGTCGTGCCGCTGTAGTCGAGTTTGCTCCGTCCCTTGCATCATTGCCCAAGCTGGTTCGGAAGCACCAAAATCCTGCAATACCAACCATCAAGCTGGCAAGGCTTTCACCATCTGGCCCCAAACAAAACGAGATTGTGAGGTTTGCCATTGCCACACTTCGCACAGCCAGTCCTAAGCATATTGACGCAGGGCAGGGCCTGCAGAATTGTAAGATGCTTGTTCGTCGTGATTTTCCATGTCTGGCGCTGGATGCGTCCTGCAGTTCAGTGTGAGCCCGAAAATGCATTCCACTGCAGCATCCACTCTTATCCATTGCTTGAGATGCCAGAAGGGCTTTTGGTCGAAAGCGAAGGAGGCGTTCCAGTCCCGAGCACCCGCCCCGCTGTTTTTTTAAGCCAAGGCCGAGCTCTGAGCACTCTGACCACTCGCCAGAGGCTTGCGGCCACTTCTGATCATACCGGAATGGGCCTTTGGACAAAAGGCTATGACGCTATGCCTCTTAAGCTTAGCTGCTTAGCTGCCTTGCTTGCTCTCTGCGTCGACAAGCTGCATCCAGCTAAGAAAGCCAGGTGCAGATTTCGCGCGCGCAGAAGCTCCCTGTTCAAAGCAATCCCATTTCTGGCGGAAGCTGTTGGGAGTTTGAAGCTCGGGCCGGTTGTTTGGGCTGTGTAGACATGCTGGGCATATCTGGGTATGTGAAGTTGAATTGTCCCTGCTGCCGATTCCAGTGTGACCAATTCCGTGTTGGTGCTGCAGATGTCTGCATGTCGTGCCTCGGCACGAGGCAAAGCAGCACCCGACCTCGGGTGTTTGTTGTCCGTGCATTGGCGGCCTCCACAAAGTTTTGCATGCCCCCTGCAGGCGTTACGACTGGAAGTGCGAAGCGCGTCAGCTGGTGCATGCTCCTGTGACGGGCGTCATCTGATAATTCTGACAGGTTCTTTGCAATCGTCCTATTCATGAGGTCACATCCGCCGCAGATTGCTTTGAATGGTAAGAGCTGGCAGCTGGTCCTTTTCGGGATCATCGGATCATCGTGGGTCCACTCCGCCACTGTTGCGCCGGGTTGTGGTCAAGCACGTTGAATGGAGAGGCACTGCAGGCGGATCTATGAGAGATGTCCAAGCCTGGTACTACATACTGCTTCTCTGTCTTAGGAGGAGGATCTCTGCAGCAAGCGCTTCGCCGCGGGCGAGCAGCCAGCTGGTGACACTGTAGGCAAAACCGCCAAGTCTCGGTCTCAGATGTAGCTCGCAGTCCGCAAAACTCACGGCAACTGGCAAGATCGAAGTAGCACGCGAAACTTACGGGACGGATCGCTTCGCAAGGCATGGGAAAACGTCCGACGTTGCTTTGCTTCGCACCAACTCCAACCCGGTCCTTCGGGGTTCTGTTCAGCCCGTTCTCAGGAGCAGAGATTACGTGACACGAGGGAATCTGTGGAAATGCTCCTTGCCCAGATTCCAGAGGCTCCAGACAGAGACGGGGAGCTGTGTGCTGGCTGCTTGCGGTGAGAAGCTTGGGGGCGTAAAGTCTTTGCCAACAGCCGACGTTCCCTTGACCACGCCGAATTAAGTGCACGTGGCACGGATGCCACGGCTTGGGCGGGGATATTGAAGTATGAAGCTGGCGGACGCAGGTGGAGAACCCCTCAACTCGCCGCTTTCAGAGCCACTGCACAGAGGCTGGAGGCTCGCCCCTTCGGAGGCTTCTGGAGGCCCCTGAGAGCCTGAAAGGGCCCGAAGGCTTCTGCAGGCCTGCGGGAATTCTTTCTGGACGTTCATAGCGGTTCTTTCCTAGGTTTATGACCGACGTGCGACCGCCAATGTGACTGGCTTCACAGCGTTGCCGCGGAAGGCCACGCCCGTCCATCCCTGACATCCGGAACGCGGCGGGCAGATCTTCGCAGACTCACGCCGAGGCTCACGCATCTCCACGGTCTTCCCACGGAGGCTCGAACAGTGAGGCAGCCGCAGTGCATCTGATCTGGTCTCGTTTTCTGCTTTCCTGGTTTCGGCTCGAGTGCTGGGCTCGTAAAACTCTGTGTCGCACCGAGCTGCGGATGAGTTGTAGTAAGAGATGCCACTGTTTAGCACCGCTGCCGGCTGCAGTCTAGAGCTGCAGCCCGACGTTGCTCTGGTTCGCACACGAGCCCGTCCCAAGCCGAGCAAGAGATGCACGTCGCCCTCATGACGGCAGCCCACGCCCGCATAGGCTAGCATGCGTCGGAGCGTGCACCGCCTGTGAAGAGATCTTCCAGCTTGTGCAGCCAATGCCGCCCATGCAGGTTCTGGATGTTCCTTGATACCGTCAGCTGGGCAGACAGCCGGTCGCAGGACCTAGTCTGGGCTGGAAGCAGTGCTTCAAGCGCCGATCAGAGGAAATTTGCGTGGGGAAGGGTGCTGCCAGCTAGTCGGCATTGTCTGTCACCAGCATCTGGCTGTCTTGAAAACAGCGGTTTGCGGTTCCGCAAGCTCTCTGCGTGGGCTTTGCACTTCGGGCAGTCCGTTTCGTGCACTCAGCCACTCACGATAATGTGTCAGCATTGCAAGCTTTCATGTTAGAGCTGGGATGCATGGAGTGATAGAGGCTAGAGGACTTGTCAAGGTGTGGCGAGGGTGAGTCCAAGACGAGTCTGCCACCCGCGCGTACGTCTCCCATGTGGTGCCTGCTGACCTCCGCCCAGGTGTGCACATGCTGAAAAGCCTGGAAGTTCTGCATTCGATGCGGTTGAAAACTCTGTTTGAGCCCGGCGAGTTCAACAGCTGGCACTTGCCATTTGTACAATGCGGCGGAGAACCCGAGTGAGAGCAGGCTTGTATTCATGCAGACTGTCGCGAGCTGAGGCACGACGGACCAGGATAGCCCAGAACAGGCAGTTGTGCACGAGGTCCGTTGTGACCTGGTGCTGCATCTTGCAATTCTGGCTCCGGACAAGTTGATGCACAAGTGCCACTGATATCTTGAGCCATGCGGCGATTCGAGATCTGCCAGCTTCCAACTCAAGCTTGTCCTTAACCCCGATTCTGAGACTCAAGGGTGCTAGTTCAAGGAGTCTCTGCTTCCGACCGTACGCGCTCTTGCACCGTCACCGTCGGCATATGCAAGAGTCCGAGATTGCTCTTCTGCGAACCAGAGCACCAGAGCCGGCACCCGTCAGCCGTCAGCTGCAGGAGCATAGCACACTTGCGGGCACATTTACAAAGGCAGCCCCACGCTGGGCGCCGTCTCCGTGAGCCACAGGGGGACAGTGTGCAGCAAGGATTTGCATTCACGGACGGAAGTGAGCTGACGCAATGCTGAAATCCGACGTCTCTTGACGAAGTCCAGTGGCTGCTAGCACCGGTGGATACCGGGGAGAGGGTTCGTTCCGGGCTCTGTTTCCACAGAAACAATCATCATTTCAGAGTTTTAACAGGATGGGTGGAGGGAGGCAGAGAACCACCCAACTTGTCACCCCCTGCAAGCCGGTTTGGAGGCTTCTGGAGGATGAAGGGGGCTTCTGCAGACCTGCGGGAATTCTTTTCTCGCGTTCATAACGGGGCATTCCTGTAGGTTTATGACCGACGTCCGACCGCCAATGTGACTGGCTTCACAGCGTTGCCGCGGAAGGCCACGCCCGTCCATCCCTGACATCCGGAACGCGGCGGGCAGATCTTCGCAGACTCACGCCGAGGCTCACGCATCTCCACGATCTTTCCACGGAGGCTCGAACAGTGAGGCAGCAGCAGTGCATCTGATCTGGTCTCGTTTTCTGCTTTCCTGGTTTCGACTCGAGTGCTGGGCTCCGAAAACTCTGGGCCATGCCGAGCTGCGGATGAGTTGTAGTAAGAGATGCCACTGTTTAGCACCGCTGCCGGCTGCAGTCTAGAGCTGCAGCCCGACGTTGCTCTGGTTCGCACAAGTGCCCGTCCCAAGCCGAGCAAGAGATGCACGTCGCCCTCCGCAGCCCACGCCCGCATAGGCTAGCATGCGTCGGAGCGTGCACCGCCTGTGAAGAGGTCTTCCAGCTTGTGCAGCCAATGCCGCCCATGCAGGTTCTGGATGTTCCTTGATACCGTCAGCTGGGCAGACAGCCGGTCGCAGGACCTAGTCTGGGCTGGAAGCAGTGCTTCGAGCGCCGATCAGAGGAAATTTGCGTGGGGACGGGTGCTGCCAGCTAGTCGGCATTGTCTGTCACCAGCATCTGGCTGTCTTGAAAACAGCGGTTTGCGGTTCCGCAAGCTCTCTGCGTGGGCTTTGCACTTCGGGCAGTCCGTTTCGTGCACTCAGCCACTCACGGTAATTTGTCAGCATTGCAAGCTTTCATGTTAGAGCTGGGATGCATGGAGTGATAGAGGCTAGAGGACTTGTCAAGGTGTGGCGAGGGTGAGTCCAAGACGAGTCTGCCACCCGCGCGTACGTCTCCCATGTGGTGCCTGCTGACCTCCGCCCAGGTGTGCACTTGCTGAAAAGCCTGGAAGTTCTGCATTCGATGCGGTTGAAAACTCTGTTTGAGCCCGGCGAGTTCAACAGCTGGCACTTGCCATTTGTACAATGCGCCGGAGAACCCTCGTGAGAGCAGGCTTGTATTCATGCAGACTGTCGCGAGCTGAGGCACGACGGACCAGGATAGCCCAGAACAGGCAGTTGTGCACGAGGTCCGTTGTGACCTGGTGCTGCATCTTGCAATTCTGGCTCCGGACAAGTTGATGCACAAGTGCCACTGATATCTTGAGCCATGCGGCGATTCGAGATCTGCCAGCTTCCAACTCAAGCTTGTCCTTAACCCCGATTCTGAGACTCAAGGGTGCTAGTTCAAGGAGTCTCTGCTTCCGACCGTACGCGCTCTTGCACCGTCACCGTCGGCATATGCAAGAGTCCGAGATTGCTCTTCTGCGAACCAGAGCACCAGAGCCGGCACCCGTCAGCCGTCAGCTGCAGGAGCATAGCACACTTGCGGGCACATTTACAAAGGCAGCCCCACGCTGGGCGCCGTCTCCGTGAGCCACAGGGCGACAGTGTGCATCAAGGATTTGCATTCACGGACGGAAGTGAGCTGACCCAATGCTGAAATCCGACGTCTCTTGACGAAGTCCAGTGGCTGCTAGCACCGGTGGATACCGGGGAGAGGGTCATTCACGGTCTTTGAAGCAAGGTGTTTCAAGATGTTGAGGAGTGTGTCGGGCTTGGGGTGAAGCCATCATCATTTCCGACCTCAAACTCTCATCCCACCGACGCCTTCCAGCAGCGCCGAAGATGCAGAACCTTCCAGGCAACAGGAGGGTGTCCGACTTGAGCTGAGCGACACACTCGTTTTGTAGGGTTCAGCAGCATGGACTAGAGGAGCTGTGAAATCCAAAGCCTGAGCGTGTCGGCCGGCTACTCGTCCAGGCAGTGCTGAACAGGGTTCAGCTCAGCAGCGTGGACTAGAGGAGCCTTTTCCCAAAGCATGCCACATTTGTCCGCTGCCGCCAGAGCTCCACGCCTCTCGCCGACGAAATCTGCCATTGTCCCCTGGACCTTAGGACACCTTGGCTTTGTGGCCAAAGTCGTTGCCCTCTACATGGCCAGAGGCACGGGCCGCGAACTCACGTCTCTGTGCAGTGGGTTCGAAGCTCGGGTATCAACGGCGCCATCGCGGAGATCTGAAGGCGTAGCTTTCCGGTGAAATGCCCAGGGCCTCGGGAGGCGGTTGCAGTGCAAGGACTTGAGTGGCCTTGGCCAGGGCCCGCAGGGCCCGCAGAGGCTCCCGCTCGTCGAGCCCCCCTTCCTTTCCGAAGTCCTTGCAGCGACTTCGGCGGCTTCGTGCTACTCTTTGCTTACCGGTTACTTAGTTCCTCGCAAGTCGAGGTCCTCAAGGCATGCAGCAGGCTGCGGACAGTCGAGCAGGGTTGCGGTCTCCGCCCCAACGCACCACCTCAGTCCTGTGGCATTATGATTGCATTGCCGCCAGCGAAGGACCCAAAGAGCAGCTCAGGCTGAGGCCTGCAACCCGCGTGCTCTCCTGCAAGATTAGTGGTTTCGGCTGCTAAGGTCGGTCAGCAGAAGCCCCTGGTTGCGCGGTATTAGCTTGAAGGCCCCAGTGTCTCTGAACAAGCATGGGCGAGGTTTGCTAATCTTCCTGCGCTTCCCCCGACCCACCCACTCGTTCTTGCTTCAGCACCGCCTTGACAACAAGCCAAGCAGCATCGCCACCCTCCCGTTCAATCAAGGATTCCGATTCCCAGATCGTGATCTCGGGTTTCGCATTTAGCACAACCGGTGGCGAGGTCGGCCAGGCGATCCTGTCGAAATGCCGGTGCCTTCACCCACGCAGCAAGAGCATGGTGCAGACGCGGTGCCAAGCACTCGTGATCCCTCTGCTGACTCGGAGAGCCAAAACGCATGTTGCGTACAGGCTGCCCTCGGGCACGAATCTGCTCTCGTCACCACGTGCCCGAAAACTCTGTGCAAGAGATTCAGGGAAGCCTCTCTCAGGCCATCGATTGAGAGTGCACAGGCATGTGAATCTGACATTGGCACAGACGTGAAGCGATAACTTCTCATCCACGGCTTTACTTTAATTATGGGCGACACCGCAGACTAGTTCGGAGCAGCGGAACCGCCGGCTGGGTACGGCAGTGTCGGCACCACGCAGCTGACATCTGCAAACAGGTCCAAGCCCTGTCTGCATGTATTTCCAAGGCTTGCTGCGGGCAAGTTGTGCCTGGAGGTCGCGTCAGTCTCCCTCCCCGTGCCAGCTATCTTGGGGATGGAGCTGGTTCCTGCGATTATCAGCTTGCGTTCGCAGGCCATGCAGCCGTAATTCCCCTGAGCCAGCGAAGCATGTCAACTTTCTCAGGAATCCCGAGCCCAGACCCCGTTGCCCGAGGTTTCCGAAAAATCTGCACCCGAAAAGCAAGGCAGCCAGCCCTACAGCACGAAAACCCTGCCTACCACTCATACCTAGCCTCCGAAGTGGGAATGCAAAGACAGCCTGCCGGAAAGCCCAAGACGCCAAACTCCTCAGCTGCTCCGATACTACGCGCATGAGGCGCTGCCGCATCCGAGTCCTATCGGCCGGGAGCGGCCAGGAGGTATACTGCAGGCCACGAATGCGACCGTAGACCCGAAGCAAAGGCAGAAGTTGGACGTGAAGCCTTACGTTTCACGCAAACATCGGCACCCCCATGCTCGAAAGCCTCTGCAGTGGTCCCTGACAGGGAGAGACAGGAGATAGGAAGCTGTGTCTGTTCCTGGC